GAATGTGTAGAAAGTAGCCTAGTGGGGGGAAAGGACGTCTTGGAAAAGGTGCAAAGCCGACAGTATTCTTTGTAGCTGGAATATTCGCCTTGTGCCGAAGACCTCTTCGCACTTCTTTACCTTTTTTTCAAAGCCTCACACCACCATCATCACCACTACCACCACCATCAATGTTTCCGACTTTCTTGCTCCTTCAGTTTCGTCACCACTACACAAAAAGATTCTTGAGAATAGTATAGTCTTACTGGATACTACTACTACTACTTTTACTTACTTCTAATACTAATACAACTGTTACTACATTTATTACTGTAGTTATTCCTACCACTACTACTACTATTACTACTACTACTACTACTACTAACTCTTATTTATTCCTAATACTAATACAACTGTTACTACATTTATTACTGTAGTTACTCCTACCACTACTATTACTAACTCTTATTTATTCCTAATACTAATACAACTGTTACTACATTTATTACTGTAGTTACTTCTTCTACTACAATACTACTGTAGTTACTATTACTAATACTACTACTACTACTACTATGACAGGATCACTTCTAAGTGATCCTGTATGCTAGTAGAAAGTTGCGAGCTTTGCTTGAGCTTTACCACTTGCACGAGGGAAGAGTAGTATTGTAATAGTAGTAGTAGTAGTAGTAGTGTAGCAGCAGCTTACTTCTCCACCCATGCCGGATCCCTTACTCGACGAGCAGCTCTTTTGGGACGAGATATTTACCAACATCCAAGATGGCGGCGGCATAATCTTCCCAGCTTTTCGCGAAAGTCGACGAGTCATCCGCACACCGCAGTCAGTTCTCCTCTCTTTCTCATGGTAAACATTCTCTCTACCCATCACTTTTTATTTCTTTCTTTCTTTCTTTCTTTATTTCTTTCTCTTTCTTCTTAGTTTCTACAGTTCTTTGACTCTTTTGAGCATTACGTTTTGGGTCACCGCGAGACGTTCTGGAAAACACAGAACGTACCAACCACCACCACCACCACCACCATCTTCTTGACGATTCTATGAGAGAGGAAAAAGCTTCCTTTCCTTTCTACGTTCTCTCACCTTCTACGAAATCTTCCCCCCACCCCTCCCCACCCCTCTCTCTTTTTTTTTCTCCTTACTTGGTCTTTCCAAGTAATCTTCTAGGTCTCATGTCGTAGGTAGGTAGGTAGGTAGGTAGGTAGGTACTTTGTTCTCAACGTTCCGAAGTTAAGTACTTTTCTTTGTATTTGTAATGTACTTTATTTCTTTTTATGAATTATATATAATGACCTACCTTTTTTTTCTTTTTGTATTATTCCCCAGCACACAGCCCATTCTTTCTTTCTTTCTTTCTTTCTTTTATTATTATTATTATTATTATTTTTCGTTTTAAATATGTTTTGTTTTTTATTATTCTCATCTACAATGTATAATATTATTGATCAAAACTATTTCAGTGGATTTTTAAAGATTCAATCATAATCTTTTAGCAAATCCACTCTTAAAAAATTCTCTGTGAAGAATCAAACTACTTGAAGAAACTAGAAAACATTGAAGAAATTAGGTGGTAAATACGGAATATTCTCTTCTCTCTTATCTATGTCTTTTTGTATGTGTGAAAAAGAGTGAGAGAGAGAGAGAAAGTCCAAGGTAAGAAACGATCGAATCGAATAGTGGAATTCGTGGAATCCGTAATCCGCCGCCAAGTGAATGGCGAACGTCTCTAAGAAGAGTTCCTATAGTAAAGAGCACCATCACCCACCCCCTTCACTTTTCTTTACCCCCACAACACCTCACCCCATCCAACCCCTTCCGATCTATCCTAACTGGGACTCGAGATTAAGGTGGTAATCGCTGAATTGGCAAAAGGTAGAAAGAGAGAAAGAGAGTGACAGGGGAAGGGGGAGGAGGGAGGGTGGTGGGGGGAGGAACGGGGTAGAGAGATAAAACGAGAGAGCCTTTGGGTGGATTTTCATGAAACGAAAAGCTTCACAAAGGATCCATAAAAAGAAAAAAATAGTCAAAAGAAAAGTATATATAGAACCGATTTGAAAATATTTATATTAAAATCTCCCTAAAGAACCCCCTTCGCCCTCTTTTTATCTTTTTGTTTTATCGAGATAAAGAGATTAGTTTAAAAAAAAAAAAAAATTAAAATATTACACAAAAAATTTGATATTTAAAAATATTTAAAATAATATTTTTAATATTTAAAATAATATTTTGTTATAACAAGGTATGCGAAGATTATTGCGAAAAAAAAAAAAAAAATTGATTTTTCCTTTTTACGAAAGAAAACTATCCCTCGATTCGATTGTTTTGTAATCCAATAGGAAAATTGAATGTCAAATTACGGTGAGGCAGAGGGGTGGGGCGGGGCGGGGCGGGGCGGGGNGTGAGGCGGGGGTGGCAATGGCAGCGTTGTAATTGTTAAAGGAAATTTTCGAAACACACATGAGAACGTTTGATAATCATTTTGAAAGTATCTCGACCAATGAATAAATAATCTCTTCGGATTTGTTCTTGTTTTTTTTTTCTTTTTTTATGTAGACAATAATTGCTTCGTCAGAGTGAGTGAGTGAGTGAGATGGATAAAGGGGAAAATATAAAAGAGAAATTTGTCGAGATTGAACGGGATGCAATATCGACAGGTAATTGGCCGGCGGCTTGTTCGACCGTTCTTTATTGCAATGGCGAAATTTGACTGGCCGATAAATTGTTAGCACAACGTTGAAATAATATTTATTTATCTTACGACGTGGTAATAATAATAATAATAATAATAATAATAATATGCGGGGCGTTACATCGTAAAAAGAAACAACTGGATCATTGAGTTTATCAAATTATTCTCTTCCCCCTTTCCCCTTTCCCCTCCCCACCTACTCCTCATTTCGTATATTGAAACGCAACCGATGAAAAAGAAGAAAAATAATATTAACATAAATAATAATATTAACGTATTGTGCGTTACGTAAAAATTAGCGTCGATTTTAAAATGGATAATTTCAAATCGTCAACATTTTTCATCGAATTCGATGTAACATAATTAAATTAAGAAAACATATATATATATATATAGATATAAAGTCATATATATCTTCTTGTTACGAGATATTTAAAGGATTACACACACATTTGAACATTTAAAAATAAAATTCTATAATAATATTGAAATAACAAATATTATCTAACGTATTATTATTCATAATATCGTAAAAATAATTACATTGAATTTAATTTGATTTAAAATAATTCTCCTGTGAAAAAAAATATAATTAATAAATTAATTCTTTTTCTTTTAATTTTAACTTAGACAACTTTCATAATTATAATCAATCAATCAATCAAACATTTCATTGTTACAGGCTCACAAAAAACAAAAAGAACACGAGAAAACGTATGTAGAAATAGTGGATAAGGGGTAGGAGGGTCGAAGTGACACGTACTTAGATGATAAGTATGAAATGCTTATGATAAAGAGAAAGAAGAAGAACTAGAGTAGAGATAAACGGGGTTTGAGGTGGGGTGGGTGAGTGGGTGGGTGGCTGAGGGAGGTTTGTGTGTGTGTGCTTGAGAATAGATGAGGGTGAAAGAGATAGTAGTGATGTTGGTGGGACATATATAGGATGTTGATAGTGATGGTGGTGGTAGTAGTAGGGGGTTGGGAGGGGGTTGGAAAGGATCGGCTGGTGGTACGTGGAGTAAGTGCAATAATACCAGATTATTTGCATCGCAAAGCCGTGCGTATGGGTAAACACAATATTCGCTCTCCGGTCGGGTCTGTGAACCGATAGCGTGCATCCAGGTAGATTCGCATCCGTCTATCTATCTCTCTGTTCTGTCATCCCATCCCATCCCATCCCATCATCCCAACCCACCCCAACCCATCCCATCCCAACCCAACTCATCCCTTTTCTCTTCTCGTTCTCTCGTAGTTCTGTGTCGGTCTATCATCATCCATCTTTTTCACACGATACAAGCCATTTCTCTATTTCTCTCTCTCTCTCACACTCTCTCTGCCTCTCTCTTTCTCTCTCTCTTTCTGTGTACAGCCACGGCATAATACAGATTCTATTTGAGCTGCCTCAGGGAAGTTAACTTGTGATGCGTGCACTACGTTTCTCTCTCTCTCTCTCTCTCTCTCTCTCTCTCTCTCTATTTCACTCACACTCTCTCATACTATCTTTATCTATCTCTCTCTTTCTCTGTTGGCGATTCTACGGATCGAACCGTTCTCCATTTCGTTGATGAAAACCAGAAGAGAGATATAAGTACTATCTAACGGTAACGTGTTCAATACGATGCTCACACACAATAGTAAAATCATTCGTATAATTTACCCCGTCTTATCTAATTATCAAATCATATGTTTTATATATATATAATACATTGATTGTTTATCATTATTATTAATTACGATACAATTTTGCGTGTATATATATATTATAAATAAATGATCTCAAAATCACGATTGGGGGATGATACCGATTAATCTTACTAATGTATTTATAATATCTTTACAAAGAAAAAAAAAAACGAGAATAATAAGAATAAGAAAAAATATATAAAAGTGAAAACAATTCGGATAAAATAGCGTAAGAATTTGAAGACTTTGAGAAAGCTGTCGTCGTCCCTTTATCTGTACCGCTATTTTGCTAACTCCAACGTGGAGCCTCGGGCACGGGTTTCTCCTCTCGTAAGAGAAGCACACACAGCATCAGTTAGCAGTAGCAGTATACCACCAGTAGAAACATCCCTTTTACGTTCCTCCACCCCCCACCCCCGTTCCTCTTCCACCATCCCCCTTCCATTTCGTCCACCCCCAAGCCCTGAAACGCGTTGCGACGCGGCGCAGAAACGAAAAGCGAGGGCTAAAAACGACTCGTGGGGGTTGGGGTGGACTAAAGGTGGGGTATGAGGGGGCTTTCGTGTTGTTAGCAGCAGCAGCAGTATCATCCCTCTCGTTTGGCAGAGGGGTGGCCTTTCGGTTAAAGGAGAGGGTGCACTGTCCCCCGTGTGCAAAAGGATAGCAAAAGCGTGGGGGTAGTAACGCCCGCCCATTGGTCCGCCCACGGTCCGACCGAACCAGAGTCACTTCGAATCAATCCGTGATACGATTTCACCCTGTTCTAGACGAATTTTCGTTTGTTCTTAAGTATAACGCGAGTTACGCGCAATACTAATTTTATATATCACGCGAAAATTCATCAATTCATATTATATTCATCGTTTTTATCTAAAATCAGAGATAAAGATATAAAGAAACTTAATTCGAATTCATTTTACTCCTTCGTTAGTTTATTTATACATTCATTTTTCTATTCTTCCCCCTTTCGAAATAACTCTCCCCCCTCACCCCTCCGTTCCGTTCCCCCCTTCAATTCGTTCGTTCGTTTTTGTTATTGTTTTCTTTTCACCCTTTCGTGGATAAGATTCTTTTATTCATTGTTAATCATTTATTTTTCCTTTTTTTTTTTTTAATCGCGTGAATCGTAAATCTTTCGGTTACATTGACACGTTTTGCTTTTGTAATATTTTCTTTTTCCCCCCTCCTTTCTTTACTTCGTATGACGAAAAGTTGGTTTAGTGTTCTTTTTTTGTTTTGTTATAAACGTCGAACATGTAACTTATTCTTCTATATTCTTCTTTGATCATGGAGATCTATTTGAAAGGTTACACAGTTTTAATAATAGAAGAAAAATATTGTTGACGGTGTCACGTCAACTATTACGTGGTTACACGTTTCTCTTGTTAGAATTGGCAAATACAGAAGAAAAGAAAGAGAGAAAGAGCAAGAAGAAGAAGAATAAGAAGAAGAATAAGAAGAAGGAAGAAGAAGAAGAAGAAGAAAATAAAACAAGAAAAAAAGGTGCGTTATCGTTGTGGAAACAAACTATTAGCGTAAGATAGCGTACCACTGCGAGAAAAGCAAAAGAAATATTATATTGTACTGCAGTCTCGCGTGTGACAGTTCGCAACAGTTAAACATGTCGGAGGCGGGACCTCGACGAGAAATCATCATCCACTACGCTGGTGTTTTTTACAACGTTTACCATTGAGAATATATATCTCTATTCCGAAGGATCGTTAAAACAAAAACGAAACAAATCAGAATAAGAAGAACATTTTTGGTGCAGTTTTAATAATATAATTACGAAAAACTTACGAAAAAACAGGGGAACACGTTTAAGGTGGGTAAGCAGCAGGAGGTGTTTTTTTTTAAGTATCTTTTTCAAGAGAGGGGAGGGGGAGGACACACACACACACACACAGGTGTAATTCCTTTTCGTTGTTTCGATTAACGACGAGGAAGTTAAATATAATGTTAAATGATGCAACACGATCCTGAATGTGTTTATCGGATTTAAGGTGGTGTATCAAATAAAGTGTAGACATTTATGATCTGATGATAGTTCGTGGGAACTCATGGAAGCGCATTGTGCGATGATGATGTCGAATCTGTCGTGCGACGGTTGCGCTGACAGCAGCAGCCGTGACTCCGACAGCAGTAGCATGATCGTAGACCCGGTGAGTCTCGATAAAAATGACATGTCACCACCGCAATCATCCTCGTCACCGATAATATCGAGTTCACCGGTTCCAACAATGACGGGTACAACGCCGACAAATTCGTTAAGATGTCGGGGTGGTAGTGGTGGTGGTGGTGGTGGTGGTAGTGTTGGTGGTGGTGGTGGTGGTGCTAGTAGAATGACAAAAAAAATGCCATACTCGAGGATGCCGGTATCGTCGGTGTCGTTGTCGTCTAAATCAACGAGTCAACAACAAAAGACTACGACGGGGGGTGGTCAACAATCTTCCGGTTATGGGAACGAGAAAATGTCATCGTCCTTGATAAAACCACCATACTCTTACATAGCCCTGATAACAATGGCCATATTGCAATCACCCCAAAAGAAATTAACGTTAAGCGGTATATGCGAATTCATAATGTCACGATTCCCATATTATCACGACAAATTTCCCGCATGGCAAAATTCAATAAGGCATAATTTATCGTTGAACGATTGTTTCATCAAGATACCAAGGGAACCCGGTAATCCCGGTAAAGGCAATTATTGGACATTGGATCCATTGGCCGAGGACATGTTTGACAATGGTAGCTTTTTACGACGCAGAAAGAGATACAAAAGGCCACCCCCGCATTATGTATTACGCGACAGGGCCATCATGGCCACATTTGCTATTTGCGGTGATCGTGGACCTTGTCCAGGTGGTGGAGCCGGTCATCCAGGTACTTTGGCGTATCCCGGTGCAGCTTACCTTTCACCACCCCCGGGTTTACCCCTATTGGACTTTTCACCCTCTACATTGGAAGCTTTGAAATTAGGTGCATTCCTTGAACCACCTGCACCACTTTACAAACCAGTACCCATTACTGCACCACCCATCAGACAACTGGAACCAACACCAACCAGGACAACTACCACGATACCAATGATCAATGCACAAACCAGTATCGATAAGAAGAGAAACTTTAGTATCGATGCACTTATTGGCAAGCAAACTGTCAACGATCAGGGTTGCCCTGGGCTTCTCGATCTTAGTCCGTCGGAACACAGAGAAATTAGAAGTCAAGCTTCCGCGTTCTCCCCTCTCGTTTAGAGACCATTCATAATAATTTAATCAAATGTTCGATTTTATATTTGCGCGGTAATTATCCTTCGATTATCGATCGATAGCGATTCCTTCGTCCAAGTCGTCCGATCCAAACGATTATAATTCATGATTTTAATCGCAGATTTATGGAAATACCCCTTCGTCGTAATAATGTAAATTGGATTAATAGTAATCGAATTGTATATCGTAGAAAAAGAAAAATATAAATAAATGGGAGAAATGTGAAAAGACAATTTTCGACGAAAGGAGTCGCATAATTAATATTTCATTTTTCAATAAACGAAGAAACAAAAAAAAACAGAAAAGAAAGAAAGAAATAAAGGGACTAATCAACGATCGGTCACATTCCTATAATAATTATAGAGACTCCTTATAAAAGTGGCTTCGTTTCGTCGGTTTTCAAATTATTTAGAAAATAAGCTAAACTCGTCGTCCAGTGTAATGGTGATTTTTATTTTCTAACGGACGATTCCCATCGAAAGAAAAAAAGAAAGAAAAGAAAAGAAAACAAAACAAAACAAAAAAACAAAATGCGAATATAATAAAAAAAGAAATATTTTCTAAGACCTCGATCGCGTGATATCATCGATGATCTCCTCTTCAATTCGTAATAATAATAATAATAATAATAATAATAATAATAATAATAATAATAATAATAATAATCCTAATAATAATAGCACGAATCCTAATAATAATAGCACGTTTGATAAAGCTATTAAACACATAGGATTGGAAACTATCGTTAATTATAGTCAAAAATAAATACTTTTTGACGATTAATGTTAACTACGAGATGATCGTGTCTACAAATCAAAGACTCGAAATTCTATTATCAATATCAGAAAGTAGTCATGTCAATCGTTATAAATATATCGACACTATGTATTGATTAATTAATATTTATTTAATCAAATTATTTTATTTGAAAGTAATCATGTAAATCGTTATAAATATTTACTATATATTGATTAATTAATATTAATTTAATCAAATTATTTTATTTGAAAGTAATCATGTAAATCGTTATAAATATTTACTATGTATTGATTAATTAATATTAATTTTCAATTACATAATTTATTATTTTTGAAAATATCATTTTGTAATTATATTACTTCCTAGTTTAACTTGCGATTCAAATCGTTCATATATATATATATATATAAATCTGTGTTCTATTTTATATAATTTATATTGCGAGATTAATATATTTGAAAATATAATTTATTACCAGCGCGCGACAAAAAAAAAACAAACAAACAAATAGCGAACGATTAAAAAAGAAAGAAAAATCATAAATCGAGAAGAGTGCAACGAGTGAAAATGATAGTTAGAGTATATAATAAAATGGCGCAGTGCAATAGTATAATATTTAAAAATACTAACACGAGAGAAAGAGGGAGAGAGAGAGAGAGAGAGAGATTCATTTTTTTATTAGATAAATAAATTCTAATATAAAAAAGAATTTTTCTATATTCATTTGTCGTGCTGAGAATTTTTCGTTTCTTTTGACTTTAGGTTAAAATCGTAATCATCATCATCATCATCATCATCATCATTGATATCTTCAAAATGGCCACTGGCCATCCTCTATGACGGTCCGTTTGCGTTCGGTCGATTAATAACGGCATTGTAAATACGAGCTCCGAACAAATATGTGCGTAGCACTCTTATTATTCCTGAAACGTGGAGGGGTATGGGGCACCGGGGTGGAGAAGGGGGTGGTCTAAACGGGGGTGGCCAATCTTTTTTCTTCGTCAAATTTAATGTAAAGACACGCCACTCGAAATTGACCAATAATTTTCGGTCAAGTACGCGTATACGTTTAAGTATATTATTATTATTATTATTATTATTATTATTTAGTTGTATATATATATATATATATATATAATGTGTCGTGTAGTATTTTAAAACAACAACCAAAAATTATACATTTATTATTAAATAATATATATATATATATATAGAACGATCATTTATTTCATATTAACGATACATCAATCGTTGCACCAAAATATTTTCTGCGAAATGTGACGTGTCTTTTGTTTTTTTATTTTTTTTTTCCCAAGAGATTGTGTGTTTTAAAGAAATAAATCAATTAACAAACAGATGGGAATTATGCTGTATAACCAATAAACAAAAAAACAAAAATAAATATCACAAATAATTCAGGGGAGGGGGGCGCAGGTGCAGCGGCAAGGGGGTAAACTTTAATATACACATAAAAAATTACACATAATTAAATAACAATAATAATAATAATAATTATTATTATTATTCATATTAATTGTATTATACAAATCGAACGTATATTTATATATTCATTTCTATTTGTTTCTTTATTATTATTATTATTATTTTATCTGGTTATAAGTTTTCGTTGTTTCGCATTGACACGGCCTTAAAAGTGGAAAAAAGCTCTGATAAATTTGTATTGTAGATAGAAGTACGAAAGCACTCGACGGAAAAAACCGTCGATCGAAATCTCCCGGTGAGCAATACGAACGAGAGGAACTCAAAGAAGGGAAGTTGGATGAAAGAAAAAAAAGAAATAAAGAAATAAAGAAAAGGGGGTGGGGGGGGGCAGTCAAAAGAGAGAAAACGGTGTGCGAGTTTAATATACACGTTAACGTGTACAAGTGTACGTACGTATTTCAATATACGTGTATGTAAATGTATGTATGCACTTCTGTCTGTCTGTCTGTGTGTGTGTGTGTGTGTGTGTGTGTGTGTAGTGAGAAAAAGACAAAGAATCCTTAATGAATCTTTCGACGATGATACATACCCAAAGTAAAAACAGAAAAATAAAAATAAAAAAGGAAAAAATAAAATACACCGTTGTATTAATGTATTTTATGTAGTATATATGCAAGTATGTATGTATTGAATAAAGTACGACCGAGTTATGCGTTAATTTAAATGACGAACCATGATACAGGATTACAATTATGACGATAAAGCTCACTGTTTGTCGATTATCGTCAATTCGAGTATGCGTTGTACGTGTGTGTGTGTTCGTATGTAAGTATGACAAAAGAAGAAAGAACGTTTGTAGTATGTGTGTGAGTATTAGAAAGAAAGGGAATGAAAGAGAGAGAAAGAGAAAGAGAGAGAGAAAGGATTTAGTCAGATTTACTTTTCTCGAATGAAATGATATGTGACTTGGTAGGGGGTTATTATTTTAGGTAAATAGTGTCATATTTTCAGATAACTTATGAAAGTAATAAATAGAGATTTACCTTCGTCAATGTCGAGTATCTTTCGAATCTTTACTTGCCTTTTTTCATTTAAAACATATATTTACGTATACATATATATGTATCTTTTATTATCAAACATTTGTCATATATTTGACAACGAATATTTATTTTCTTTTTCGTTTTTTTTTCTTTAAATTTTCGTCACTGATATGCGTTTGTGTGCATATCGATTAAGAGAAAAAAAAATATTTTTCTTTTTCAATCGTTTTATTGCTATTATTATTATTATTATTATTATTATTATTATTATCTCACCGCGAGATGCGTCTGATAATAATATTTACGTAACAAAAGACATGAAAGAATAAGCGAGATAAATAAATAAATAAATAAATAAAGAAATATTATAAATAAGCGCGCGATATCTTCTTCGTTCCTTTAACAAATAAATATTAGGGGGTCATCAAATAAAAAATAAAAATAAAATCTATGTTTAGTTATATAGGTTAAGGAACTATGATACACGTCTTCTACCGTTTAAAATAAACAAAAGAAAATATATATATATAAATAAATGAATAAATATAAAAAGAAGAGAGACAAAAAAGTAAAGTGAATGGGAAAAAAAATAATAAAAAGAAAAAAAAAGAAAAATGAAAAAAGAAAAAACAATTCGTCTTTGTAGATCATAGCGAAAAGTATTTGTGTGTGTCAAGACGGTAGATTTATAATAATGTGTAATAATAATGATAAAATAAAGTATCGTTACATATACATAGAGAGAGACGTTCAAACTGGAATATATGTATATAGATATATTTATAATAATAATAATAATAATACATGTATATATACATGTATATCACTGAAAAAAAGAAAATGTTTAGAATTAGATACTTAGGAGTAGTATTTAAAAAGAGAAAAAAGAAGAAAAAAAAAAAAAAAAGAAAAGAATTCTATTAATTTTTATTCAAAATCCCACACAAAAACAAACACTTGCGTAGAAATATATATATATATTATCATTTCAAATATATTTCTAATGTCAATTATTAAAAAAACAAGGATGAAACAAAACAAATTCATTACAATATTCGATACGATTTAAATATAAAGTAGAAAAAAAAAAGTAAGTAAGTAAGTAAGTAAGTAAGTAAGTAACCTTTCGTATAAAAATAACTTCAGTTACATTTTATTTATCGTTTCTTTTCTTCCTCTCAACCCCTTACCCCCTTCCTACTCTCAGTTAACAATTAAAATCAAAAAAATCGTGTTGTTTGATTTGACGTTAAAAGAAAGAAAAAAAAAAAAAAAAAAAAAAAAAGGAAGAAATAGATAGACAAACCAAAAAAATTGTATGACAGTATGCGTGTGTGTGTGTGTGTTATATGAGAACGTGCAAAGAGATATAAATAATATAAATGACGGAGGTACTCGAAACATGAATTTTTTTCACGTCGAATAAAAAAACAAAAAGAAACAAAAAATAGAAAAGAGATAGAAGGAAGCTGGAGGGTGGAGGGGGGTAAAAAGCTTGTCTCCGAAAGAAGTGCATCCAGTTTCCAGTACAAAGCAATAACTTGTTTACCCGCTTGGGTGCAAGCAGAAGCCAGGAACAGCAGCAACACCAGCAACAGCAGCAGCAGTGAGGGGTGAACGTCGAATGAGTGGATTTTCATTGCAGTTTAATCCCCATCCCTGTCTTCTTCCCTCTCTGTGTGTGTGTGTGTGTGTGGTATTCTAAACGACGATACGAAGGCAACTCTTGTCGCTCGGGGTGACGATATTACATTCCTCGATCGTGACGAAGATAACAGCCATGGGCACATGCCACGTATACCCATCATTTATTCTTTGTCTCACCTATTACTATCTTTCTTTTTATCTTTTTTTTTCTTCTTTTTTTTAATCATCTTTTTCGTCCCCCCTCCTTCCACCACCATAATGATATCTCTTTCTGTAACTTACTTACTTACTTTTTCCTCCTGACTATATTCCCCCACCACCATTATCATCACCACCACTAATCTCTCAAACGATGGAATTTATCAGACACCAAGTGTATACGTTTATTTATTCATCTTTAATAT